TTTCGCCCTTCGTGTTACGGAAATGCGCGGACTTGCGATCTTATTTACCGTACAATTTCATTTTGCACCGTCGCGTGTGGATCGACCGCGTGCGCTCGTTCTGTCACCGTAAGCCCCGCTATGTCTCTGGACTATCGCCGGCAATCCTCTCCCAAAGACGTAACGTAACGTAAAAGGCATCTCGCCGTCTTATTTCGCGCGATTTCAACGTAGAATACGAAAAACCAGCAAACGCTCGGAAAGAGAGAGAAGGGGTAACTCGAACGGAGCACACGGAACGCTCCGAATTACCCACGTCGACCCCGGCATCAGGTGGTGCTCATAGTTACATACGGTGTCCCAGAAGAGCACTATATCTATATCTACATAAAATTTCAATTTTCCTTTAGTGACAATTTTGTAAAAAGCCACCATTTATAGCAAACTGATCATTTTTACGTTAAAGTTGAGTTTTAAAATTTCTCTTAAGATAAATGTTTTTTTTTAAATAAAGTTAACTGAAAAGCTTTTTGCATACAATAAAGTCTTTAACCTTTGCAATTAATAATAATGGATATTCTGCTGTCAGCAAACTATCATTTATTTTTTTTAGAGTATATCGTAATATATCCGTGCTCGACGACACCTTGTATACAGGCGCCGGACAGCCGAGGAAGAGACAGATGGATTCGGACCGACGAGCAACGTGGCATGTCGCATGAAAAAGACAAGAAGGAGAAGGGCGGAGAAAAGGGTGAATAGATGTAGAATGGCAGTTTAGCGGAGATTGGTTACAAGGAGGTAGGAAGCAAGGAAAGGAAGATCAGGAAGGAACACGTAATTCCGGGGGGGCTTAGCGCGTCCCAATTTTCGGGCCAGTAAATTCCAATAACGTCCGATGCCCTTAAACTCTTCGTACATCACATCGTCTCTTGAACCGGGGTTCGATTTATAACCGAGAAATTCGAGTTATCGATACCTTATCGGCATCCCGCGTCCGCTCCCCCGCGAACTCTTCGTGGAAATAATGACGCGCGCCGGCCAAAGTCTCGGACAATGATTTATGAGTCATTGTGCATACAATAAAGTCTTTAACCTTTGCAATTAATAATAATGGATATTCTGCCGTCAGCAAACTATCATTTATTTTTTTTTTAGAGTATACCGTAATATATCCGTGCTCGACGACACCTTGTATACAGGCGCCGGACAGCCGAGGAAGAGACAGATGGATTCGGACCGACGAGCAACGTGGCATGTCGCATGAAAAAGACAAGAAGGAGAAGGGCGGAGAACTAGCGATACTACGACAAACTCCGACTTTAACGCAGAAGTTTATATCCTTCGCAATATTTTCATGCGATAAATATTGCCGCGTGGCTCACGTTACGTGATACTTCAACGCTGACATTTATTTACGGAATTGCCTGTCGTGCTCGCGCACGCTGACAAATGCTGCGCAATGTTAGTACATACTAATGAAAACTTCATTTAAACAGGATTATACGACGTTAATACTAATTATTATCACGGAACGTTAAGCTTACGACTGGACGAACTGGCAAGATCGAAGTTACCTTCTTTACTACACATCTTAATTAACGGAATTACCTTTCTTGCCTCACATAATTTAATTATCTTCTTTAGCAGATATAAATTTCGAAGATTAAAGATTTATTAACGAGATCCGATATATTATTATTCTTACAATCATACATGCTATCCAGAAAAATCAAGATGCAACAAAAAATATTCACCCGCTAGTCCCATTCACTCGCAATTAGCAAAATGAAAAATGTATAATACATCGGAATTGAGGGAACCGGTTTATGTACGCGACTTCTATACTTCGTGTTAGAAGTAAGTTTAGCTTAAAGAGAGGGTGTGGAGGGTAGTCTGAAAGCAGAGATGGCGGTTATAGGGCCTGAAAGTTGCCGCGAGAGAGCGGCGGTAGGCAGTGATCGAGCGGTCGCGACTTAATGAAACTCTTAAGTGCCAACTATTAATATGGCTTCCAAGTTACCGAGAGGCCTGCTGCACCTCCGTCCTTCGTGTCCGCGTTCCCCTCCCTTCGCCTTCCCATCGATTACAAGTTTTCCAGGGAAACGGCCGTATCCCGCGATTTCACGGGGAAAAAAGTGAGAAATTAATTTTATTTATTCTCTCGCATATTTTCCGTTGGTATAAAAAATGCTTCAAACAATCAACGAGATCTATTTCTATTCCACAATTAATCTGTTCTTTCCAACTCTACAAATAACGTAATGTACATCATCTGCTACTTTACATTTCATTAAATTATCTATGGCTCTTGTAGATACGCGACTGTAAGCATCACTAGCAATAAGTCATAAAGAATCGTTACTGTACGAGATAATTATCGTATGAACGGTAGGTCTAATTACAAAGTCAATAGTTATCATAAAATCATTAAAAAACGATTAAATGTCATATGTATATTTCGTTCGTCCAAAAAAAAAAAAAAAAAAAAAATATCAATTCTGTTATTTGAGAAGACTATTCTCGAGAATCGCAATCGACTGTTATTCAACGAATTGGTTCAGAAATTTTTTTGCAAACGGTACTACGTACGTAAGGGATAAGAATAAAAATTGGAAAGTGTCAACCATTATCCCGATCAGCTGCTTTCAGACCCGGGAATCCAACAACAATTTACGCTCGCATCCGCTAAGCGTACTAAACCGAGTTCACGCCTTGTCGCGCTTTTCAAGCCGCTGTCACGCAAGGCGATCGGCTACCGGGGTTCGCGTCCCTGTCCCCAATTTGTCTTTGAATGAAAAATTGATCCGGTTAGCGACTGTGTTGCAGCTTGTCGGAAATTGCGAGCCGAAGAGGAAACTGGTGAGAACCGGAGAGATCGATGACGCCCGCCGATATTTTATCCGTCGCGATACCATCGTGACGACGTCGTCCCTACAACCGAATCGCGCTCCTTCGTGTGTTCGAATAATTATTTCCAATCTCGAGATTCAATCACCTGGGATAAATTAAAATCCAGCAGAATTCCTGCCTCCTAAATCGTCATCCAACCAGCGATTGCCGTGATCGGCACCCGATTATAAAATATCGCGAATCAGCGGGGGTAACAGCTTGTAACGAGATATTATACGAATTTAATTAAATATGAAATAGAAGTTTCGATATGGCTATCGAGTGCGAGTAAATTCTCCATGCAAAATCAATTTCAGCAAAAATTTTAAGCTAATATGTAGCAACGACGAGATTAGACAATCTCCTCTCATTATTAAATCTTTATTTACGGAATAAATTCTTCAATTCTTAATATATACCCTTCTCATACTTCTTCTTCAATTTTTTTGCACCACTCGATCAACTAGGATTGTTTCTGACAAACGTTCTCGGACAGCAAATGGCTCGAACATGCCGTTTATCTGAGACTGACGGCGCTCGCGCTTTCAGTTCACTTTGCGGGCTGTGCATTTTTCGCATCCGCACGCACGCAGATGCGCCGAAAAATTCGCATCCGTTGAGCATTAATCGCTTTGTCGTCACGCCCGGTACCGATTCTCCTTCCTCTCTGCTCCGTTTCCATTCCCCCTCACCCCTTTCCCAATCTCGTTGACGCCCGCGGTTTGCACGGTTTTTCGATTCGGTCGCGAGACAATGAAGTCCTTATCGCCAATTGCTATCGCTACGAATGCCGACCGAATCGGCCGCAACCGACGGCCGTTTCTTTTTCCGCTTTTATTTCTCTCTCTCTCTCTCTCTCTCTCTCTCTCTATTTACACCGGGGCATTCGCGGCTTTTACCGCAAACGTGGCACCTTTGACCGCGACGTGCTGACAGCAACAACACGCGCGCCGACTCGACAAAATTTTCCCGATTTTCTATAAACGCCATTGATAACCATTCGGCTTTTCTCTTGCCTTTAAAATTATTAACTTCAAAATATGTCAGCGCAAAACTATGTAAAATAAACTGTGTGCTTAATGATATACGTTAATTTTTCTAATCTGCTGGTACAACATTGTGGAAATTTAAATTATGCTTAAATAAGTCTCTCGTCTCTGTGAATAAAAGTTAAAATCTTCATTAATTAGCATCAGAAACTTTATAATTTAATTACTTTGAAATTGTAAGTTGCTCTGCAAAATGAGCACTTGTATAAATGATTAATTTTGTATGCGCCAGTACAAAATTACCTTACTTTGGTTTAGTAAAGAATATTTTTTAATTAGTATGTTTTAATATTTTATTCACCAAACCGAAAAGAATTATACATATTTTTTCATAATTAACATAAAATAATTTTTCATAATTAGAGAAATATATGTTATGTATTATATAAGGAATATTTTGAAAAGAATAATAAAAAGAGAACAAAAAAGTATTGTATATATATATTTCTGTTCCTCCCCAAAAAATATAATTTAAAAAAAAAGAATACTCAAGATTGAAAAATCTTTCAGACTTATCTCCAGATAAGTATATACATGCAAAATAAACACAGTTTATACAACAATTTTCTTCTCTTGGCGATACTAATCATCTTTTAACGAGTGCGCGTAAGTTGAGCGTATGATTACTTCGTCGGCTTGGACGAAACACGTGTCGATCGATGTAAGTACATGCCTCTTAGTTCCAGAAATAGTCGCGTCGCGCGTGTTTAACAAGCCCGCTTAACTTTTAATAGGCTCGATGGCCTAATTATGAGCCACCGCGAAGTAACGAAGTCTGTCGCCTTTGCATAAACCCTGATGTATATTGGAATATATATACCTTCTCCAATATACATATATACAAAAATATACGAAAATGGAAAGATCAAAAATCTCTTGCGAGATATGTCGAGATATTTAGCGCGTTGTCAATCAACGTAAATTAGAGATTTATCGTTGTCTGTAATTATCGTTTCTAACTTCCAGAAATGATAAATTGGAAACAATTCATCATTCTATCACTTCGCTTATGCGACAAATAGATATTGCAAGTAAATAAAAAAATATTCATGCAAATATACAAGAAATGAATTCACTCACAGAATCGCTGCGCATCCTGTTATCGTGGTCGTCATCCAATCTCGCCGGTCGTAAAAGAATACTCTGATAATCTGAAAATATACGCAAATCAAATCCGATTGCTACTTTCAGTGCTAAAGTTTTGTATCAAAGGCAGAGGGATGCATCGCTGTTAAACAAAGATATATGGCTGGGCGAACCGAGAGCGCAAACATGCATACATACATAGGTAGCTTTGATGAAAACACGTCTACCATTTTCGCGGACCGAGTCGACCGTACCGAAATCGACGGATATGCGCTTCTCGAAACATGGAATCCACGCCGAACGATACAAAGTGGCGCGCGAGGCGATATCGAAACTGCATCAGCCTTGAATAGTGATTAAAGCATCGCCCGCAATTGAACGCACCCCGCGTACTTGATCGCTCATAGAATGGAATGATGGGAGTGGTCGGCACGATACGGAAGAGATGAATACGGCGAAGCACCCATTAATTAATTAGTCGCCAAATCGGCCAATCGGCCGGTCTCGCGAACAATCAATGAACCGAATCGACCTGTCCCTGATTACAGAGAACGTACGTACGTCCTTGCGCGGCGGGCCAACCGTAATTCGATGAGCCGAGTACTGTGCGATCTATCGGGATCCACGAGTGCTACTCGTAATCAAACGGATAATAAGGTAAGGGAGAAAGGGAGAGGGAAGAATCCAAATTTCCTCCTCCAGTCGTATTTTATCTGTAAGGTGTGTTATCTCTTTTATCTATAAGGGAAAAGAAAAATCATAGGTTTCCAAAAATTTTTAATGCAGCGGATAAAAAAAATTTGAATGCAAAATTACGACACGGAATGTTATAATTAATGGTTGACAAATAACATCGTGTCATGTTAATTCATGTTAAATTCGTTAAATTATTTAATCAACATCGGAATCACCATCCCGACATCGAAACCGCAATCTTAATTATATACAGATGAATAATACAAAGCGATTATTAACATTCAAAATTAAATGATGCTTAACTTGTTACTAAATCCGAAACTAACTCGCTCCCGCTATGTAACGCGGTGTAACCGACGCCGGTTAAACTCATCGTAGATCTAACTCAAAGTTAACCAATCCCAGGACAACCGCTGCGCGGTGGTCTGACCATCCCCGCAAAATTGTTATTCAATGATAATTTTGAAAGAGGAAATGTCGATAGACAGTTATTTCAGTGCAGTATTTTATTTTAGTTGCAATTGCGCATATAGTGATTGCGACCGAAGGATAACATACGTAAACGTTAGCGCGCGCGTGTATTATAAAATAAACCTCCTAAAATAATATAAACGATATATAATTCAAACGTGCAAAATATCTCGATGCTTAAAGAGCTTAAAGGGCGACGTTCGTATTTTCCTGAAAAGTACATATTACATCAATAGCATCAATAGCAGAATTAAACTTATTCAATTAAAATTATGAATTTCGAAAAATCAAATAATTCACTCTAATCACTTTTTTTGCTATTTACATTAAAATTTCTGTAAATGAAAAAATTTCTGTCGATTTTTCGTTTTATTAATTATATATTTTTATATAACGTATTCAGAGAGAAAGAGAAATAGAACGCTCATGTTTGAGATGATCATGTATTCACCCTTCAGCCACGTATAGCAATTATAAGATAATCAATTCCACGATCGAGAGAGAAAGTTTGCGAGTCGAGATTGCATGGGAAGGAGAGAAAGAGAGAGAGAGAGAGAATACGCTCCTTGCATATATAATTAAAGCAATACTTATCAAAGATGCTGCGGCTTGTACGGGAATGTGATATTGATTGGAACTTTCATTAACCCTGTTTCTTTGATTCTCGATTACTCGATTCCTGTCAATAATCCTAGTGATTTTCTAATTTTTAATATCTAACATTTTATTATTAAAAGTGTGACTCTATCAATTTGATAATCTAGCCAGTCTCTAAGCGTCATTTGGCGCATTTCCAAAAACATCATGCAAATAAGCTATTATATTAACAAAGTCTGGCGATGAATTATCTTCGCAGTAAATAATACTGAAGGACGGACATTTCGCGAACAGGCGGCCGCTGGAATGCGCATTAGCTCGCACCTTCCTCTATCCTCGTATAAAGATTTATCATCTCGACAACTTCTAAAGAGATACGTTATCTCACGTAACGTGGCTATTCTTTTTCCGTTACTAAATCGCAATAAGATACACCAATCAAAGTCGCAATTTAAAAACGATATCGCCCGTGAGTATCATTATGGCCGTAAACTCGGTAGCGTGCGCAAAATCATTAAAAATTAAAAAGCGGTATAAATAAACATGACCTGTTAAGCATTTTTAACTAGCTAAAAGCCACAAGTTGTTAATGATTTAAAGCCTGCCATTAATATGACATCGAACTGAGATTGATCAATTCTTTTATATCCAGAATAAACGTGCAATTTTTGAAAAGATACGGACTGCTATGCTCGTGCATTTGTGCGCGCATCAATGACGAAGAAAGTCAAACTGTCCTATAAATGGTAGCGTAGCATAGATGGGAAAAATATCTGCAGCGCACAAAAAGTATCGGATAAAATTTATTTTCCGCACGAATTCTTCGCACACTCCGCGGAGAAAAAATTCCAGAAATTGATCGGCGGCGAACCCTCCGCGATGCGAGAATGCCACCGATACCGTTGACGACGACGACGACGACGACGACGACGACGACGACGACGACGACGACGACGACGACGACGACGACGACGACGACGACGACGACGACGACGACGACGACGACGACGACGACGACGACGACGACGACGACGACGACGACGACGACGACGACGACGACGACGACGACGACGACGACGACGACGACGACGACGACGACGACGACGACGACGACGACGACGACGACGACGACGACGACGACGACGACGACGACGACGACGACGACGACGACGACGACGACGACGACGACGACGACGACGACGACGACGACGACGACGACGACGACGACGACGACGACGACGACGACGACGACGACGACGACGACGACGACGACGACGACGACGACGACGACGACGACGACGACGACGACGACGACGACGACGACGACGACGACGACGACGACGACGACGACGACGACGACGACGACGACGACGACGACGACGACGACGACGACGACGACGACGACGACGACGACGACGACGACGACGACGACGACGACGACGACGACGACGACGACGACGACGACGACGACGACGACGACGACGGAGAAAAAATTGATCGGCGGCGACCCCTCCGCGATGCGACGACGACGACGACGACGACGACGACGACGACGACGACGACGACGACGACGACGACGACACGACGATGGGAAGGTAATAAGGTGGCCGTTTGTCGCTCGAAGTGTCAAATAAGCGCATCGAGGCACCCGTTAGCGGTGCACGACCCGATCTTTTTCTCAACACGCTATGCCACATTGACTGCTGACACATTCCACCGACCTGTCTTCGTGTTCTCGACCTTCTTTCCACCCGCGGCGCCACGCATAGAATAATAAGACCGGGCAGTTTCGACGTATGTTAAACGGGAAAGAGACGAACGTATTCGTGAACAATTTGGAACGATGGGATATATACAAGGAACGCGTGTTACATTCAATATGCATAATATAGTCGCAAACATTCGGCTGATATCTTTTTTGCTGCAATATCGATTCGAAACAATTGCAATCAGCCGGAGAGATCGAAGCGAAAAAGTTGTATGCAGAATACATATACATATACAGAATACATATTTACGCATAAAAAGATTACATAGAATACATTTTTATGCAGAATACATATTTATTAAGAATAGTATATTTACTCATCATTTTACATTCGAGTTAAGTAAAAAAAAAATTCATGTATTTCTTATAGTTATATATACCTAACAGCTGATCAAGCGGAATCGAGTAGAGAAATATTTTTTTGCGGCGCGAAAAATATTTAAAGAATAATTAATTTTCTGCTCCGATGCCGAGCGAATCCAAGTGAACGTTTTTGCACATACTTAGTCGGTCGTTACAGAAACAGCTCGACGTATAGTCGACGTCGCGCATTCCTCCCGCGGGACAGACATTATTACCACGAGCGTTACCTTACCTACCTACCTACCTACCTACACCTAGTTGCATATGTACAGAGTGGATGCATTAAATGGTCGAAGTTCGCGCGTCGAGTTCCCGAGAGTTCTTCTATCTTCCCAGCTAAGTTCACCGAGTGTCGACGCTCGATAAAAGTGTTTCTCTTTCCCCGTTCCGCCCCCGCTCGAGTTTATACCGCCACTGAAGCCACGCCCGACGAACTTTCGGCTCCTTGACCAGGCGGTTACGCTTCTTCTTCTTCTTCTTCTTCTTCGTCCTCATTTTTGAGACGCTCTCGGCACCCGCGATAACGGAGAAATCGCACGAGCGCGCGCGGTCGTCTTACATCCCCCTCTAGGGAGGGACATTAATAATCCAAGCGCCAACTACGCCAACTTACTTACTGCCCAGCATATCGTAGTTACCTCTACTTAAATTATTACCCTCGTATGAGTTATCCGTTATAATAATTATGTTACAATTCGTAAATTCTCGTTACAGTATAATCGCGCGTAACTATGAGATATTATAAAGCCATTTATAATTATTTACTCCATTGTTAAAGTTTGATTTTCAATCCTGTATCCTTACTTTGATAGAATTTTTACACTGAGACTTTTAGTTATAGAAAAATATACGTTTCTCGAGTCCATTGTGTGTGTGTTAAAAAGGTGTGAAATAAGATAGACTTCGAGAAAGTAGACTTTGAGAAAAAGTAGATTTTAAGTTGATCAAAGAATTCGTAGATGAAAAGAACTACAAAGGATACGTAACTTTCTTGTATTATAGAATATTTCATAAACTTGTATTTGAAAAAAAAAAACCTCGGGCGGTGTATTCTCTCTAATGAATTTGTGGACGATCCTTTTTAGTAGTGAAAATTTCATTGGAGGCGTCCTTGTTCCCTTGAAACTTTCAAATTTTCAACTTTGAATACGTCGACAACTAAACCCGGGA